CCCTCGCCGCAAGCCCCGCCCCGCACCGGCCTGGTCCCCGCGGACCCTCCTGGGATTTTCCCGATAGATTAGAGGGAAACTGCCCCAAAACGGCGCCTGCAGCCCGGGAGCGGCGGCGGGTTGAGCTGCGAGGGGGCAGCGGGGCCTGAGGGAGCCCGAGGGAGCCCGAGGGATTCAGGGGGCCCGGGCCTTCCTGGGCGGAACGTCGCGGGGCCTGGGCCTGGGCCCGGGCCCGGGCCCGCAGGGAGCCCTCCACAGCGGGGCAGGGCATGAGCTGGAGGGAAGCAGGATGGACAGCCTGGGCTTGGGGCCCGTTTTGGGCCTACTCTTCATTGTGGCGGTGCACGGTGACTTTTACCACGCTCTCGAGCGTGACAGCAGTGCCTAAAGTGGAAGTTTTTCACCAGTGGAACTTAGCAGGGCCCAATATTACATTTCCTCTGCACTGCAAGGCGTGTTGCTAATAAAAAGAATGTTTGAGAGAATGATTAAATAATTTACAGCTCCTTCAAATGTTTCTACCCCTTGTCCCCTTCATCCTGTTCGCAGTTTGGTTTTTTTGGTTTTTTTTTTTTTTTTTTTTTTTGCCAGCGTGTAGAGACAGGGTGCAGGGTTTAGGTCCTTCTCTTAGTGCACCCTTTTGACTAAATTTTAAGTTTTGCTTCTGTTGTGGCTGAGCAAAGGTTGTAGTCAGCACGGTGCCTTAAAACCCAAGAGGCAAAATGAGAACAGAGTATAGATTTTAAATAAATAAACCTTGATTGACAGATGAAGTAGCCTATAAACACTTCTCCTGCTTCAAAGCATGGCCCATCATCATAATTCTCACAGACTAATGAAGTTCTTGCTTGTTCTTGAAAGAACAAAAGTGTTCTCAGTATTTAGGGCTTTCGAGGTCTGCCTCCAGACTTCTGAAGAGGTTTTGAAGTTTTGTGTTTTTTTTTTTCCTCCCCTCTCCTCTTTGCAGGAACAGATGTCGTGATTGTCAAAAACGGCAGAAGGATATGTGGCACGGGAGGCTGCTTAGCCAATGCACCTTTGCATCAGAACAAGAGCTATTTTGAATTTAAAATCCAGTCCACAGGTTAGTCAGCACAGAGGCACAGTTTTAAACTTGGAAAGATATGTCTGATTGCCTGTTGGTCATTGTATCTAAAGTACTGAGCACATGCATCAATCTTATCCTAGAACTTTGTGAACATCAGAGAGTTTTGTAAGTTGTCATTGTATAAACGGAAATCTAAAGTTTTGGAAATGCCACACCACGGGGCTGCACCACTACAGAGTCCTCTCCAGAGCTGTCTGTATTCTAACATTAAGCCTCAATTGTTATAAAGAGCAAACACCTCAAAAATGAAACTGTGCATCGTCTAAGCTTGGGGGGGATGGAAGAGGGGAGTGTTAGTCCAAAGAAGTCTCTCCAGGCATAACAGTATTAGCTGCGGCTCCAGCTAATCCTGTGCTTTTTGCACTCAGTTGGTTTGGGGTGTAGGCAGTGTGAGGGCCAATCTGTCCAAAACACCTTGCAGTTGCTTTGACTGGGTTTTGTTAAATCTTGTAAACGCCAGCACAGTCTTAACTTGGTAATTTCAATATCCTTCCCATTGGGGGTAGAACCAGATGCAGCTGGTTCTTCACTCAAACACAGTATCCGTGTTCTTACCATGTTTACTTTAGAAATACAGGAAGCAAACTCATATGGTCCCTGTGAGCCCTGTCCTCTCCATTCCCATGTCCCAGGGCAGGAGAATTGTAGACACTTAACTTTGAATCACAAAAATGTCCCTGGGCAGTCTGATTGGGCTCATGTAGCCTGACTATTGGAAAGGGGATTTTTTTTTCCCCTAAGTAACATCTGAATCTGATTTTCTTCACCATGGAGATGTAAGTATTAGAATAAATTGTTCTGCAGTTCTGTATTTTTTGTATTATGAAAATAATTTCTGCACGTTTTTGCCTTTGCACACTTGCAGATTTTAGTTTTCTGTAGATTAAACAGTCCTGTGTTTGTCTACTCACAGATTATGTTTTCTAGGCCTCTGATTGCTGTTGCTATTTCTTCCACAATTTTTCTTCATAGATCTAATGTGTCTTGAGGGGTCATGCTTAACATGGATGCTGTGCTCCAGCTGAAACATCTACTTTACATACAGTGTATTTAATTTATACATGCCATACATCCAGGATTTTTTTCATAACAGTTGGACATTAGAGTTGTGGTTCAGTTCAGTCTGTGGTCTATAATAATCTCCAGATTATATTTTGTGAACTTGTGAACCAAGCCATTATTATTATTTATGTGGTTTATTGGTCTTACTTGCCTGCTGTCCTTTTTAGTGCCGTTCAAACAGCTGCATGCTCCTTATTTCAGGCCTTCCCACCAGTTTGTTACCATCGTGTAAAACCTGAATAGTTTTGGAAGAGTTTGCAGTCCTGTGGGGGGTATTGGCAGCACATTCAATAAGCACACTCACAGTATCCAAGTCCTTAATGCAAATATGGAAGAATAGCTGTAATGCAAAGCCTCAAACCCCCCCTGAGTCATCCTTTAGGTTTGACAGGGCACTATTGATGAGTAGCCTTGGAATACAGTTTTCTGTCCATTTGTGCATTCGTGTTGTGGTCACTGCATCTCAACCACATTTTCCTAAGTTGAGCACTTGAATGTCAGGTGAGGTTTGAAAGCATTCCCAAATCAAGATCTATCATATTTACCATTCTCCTTTATCCCGAGGGCTAGTGTAGCTAGCTGAAAAGGGAAATGATCTTGTTTTGACGTGATTTGTTGTTGACAAATCCTTGCTAGGTGGATTTATTTTTTACCTCCTTTTAGTTTAACACAGAGAATTTGTTTCCCTTTTTTGGGGGGGGAGTGAGGGAGAAAAAAAGTCTAAGAGGTTTAGAATTCTCTGGATCCTTCTTTTTCCAAGATACAAGCTTTTTCATCAGTCTTTTGTGACTGTTGGTATTTCAAATAGTGCTTAACAGATAAGAGCTCCGTGGCACTTGTTTGAAAACACATTCTTTATGTTGTCCTGCAAATGGCCTTCAGACAAGTAAATTTGATTTTCTCTTATCATGTTAACATTATGTTTTAGGGATTTGGGGTATTGGAGTTGCAACCCAAAAAGCAAACTTGAATCAAATTCCCCTTGGTCGAGATGTCCACAGCCTGGTGATGAGGAATGATGGAGCTCTTTATTATAACAACGAGGAGAAAAACAGACTGCCAGCAAACAGCCTTCCTCAGGAGGGCGACGTGGTGGTGAGTTCCTTGAGGATTCTTTTATCTTCGGCAGCTGTTCCCAGACTTCCTATTTGCAGCTGTGTGGTCAGACTGATCATTTTAGTTGAATTATTGTTTGCCTCGCATCGCTCGCATTGGGAAGTGGTGACATAAACTCCTGTTCAATTTGAGTGGATCAGCAGCCTGCATTTCAGTGGACTTTCATCTCAGCATTGATGCGTTTCCAAGGGGGACAATGAAATTTAGATCATTTCTCACCAACAGGTTTTCTTGTTAGAGAATCTTGAATCCTTATAGCAATGGTTAAGAATTTAATCACTTAGAAGCCCCAAACAGCAAATGTTGACCCCTCTACCTTCAGGCACTCATTCTTTTAATCCCCTTCTGAAATTGTTTTTTTGGAGGGTTGCAGGCTCTTTTAGGTTTTGGTCAGCCTATTTAGTCTGAATAGCTTCAAATAAAAAAAAGAAGCTGATGTGCTACTTTTCTAAATCCCCAGTTTTCTTAAATTTCCTTTTATTGTGTTCTGTCAGGAAAATAGGTTTCTGAAGTAGTAAATAGCAACACCAGCCACACCAGCAGCAGTCAGAAAAATCATTTAGCTAACAAATAAGTAATTTATTACCTTGCTGGTGTTTGCTTTCTGCTCTGAAATCTGCATGTTTATAGAACTGGGTATCGAATTGTGCTCTGTTACTGCTGGCAGAGAAAAAGAGCCTGGGGATGTTTTCAGAGGGATGGGATCAACAAATAAACTGAATTCATAACATCGTTATTTATTAAAATTGTTTCCATGGGGAAACATAAACAGGCAGACTATAAACTGCTTAATATTCAAAATCACTGGAAATTTTGTGATTTGCTAACATGGTAAAAAATAATCTGGAAATTTACTTTGTAAATTGTTCTTGGTCAGCTAGGATATGCGATATTGTGTTACATCCCAGCTGAATGAGCATTAAGGAATCCTGAGTATTTGAAAACAAAAATGTTATCATCACTTATTGACTTCTAGTTCTTCACAAGAATAATTTATATCCTTTTTTTTTTTTTCTGGCATGCTGCAGTTTGCATTATGGTGTTAAAACCTGCCTGTGCTAATAAAACTGGAATAACTAGCAGTTTTCATTGTATAAACATGTTGATGCCTTTTTGTTGTTGTTGTTAATATTTTCAACTTTGTAGGGTATAACATATGATCATGTAGAATTAAATGTGTATTTAAATGGGAAGAACATGCATTGTCCAGCTTCAGGAATCAGGGGGACTGTCTATCCGGTGGTATATGGTAAGTAAAGATTTTCAAATCCTTTTGCAATATATAACATCTTTTTTTGAAGTCTGTCTCCTGTGTTCTTCTCCTTTCTTACCTGGAACACCCATTTTTTTTCCAGTCATCATCAATCACTTATTTATGGCAACCACAACTATTCATTGTTTGGATATATGCAGTTAGGAAAACACAGAAGAATATGTTCACCTAAGTTTTAATGCTTGCTAATAGCTAGAAACAAGGGCACTGCTTACAGGCTAGTTGAAAAATGAATAAGTCCAAAAAGTTGTGGACTTCCTGCAGTCTAAAAATTCCTGAAATGAAGAGCAAAAAGAAAGAAACATCAGAAATCCAACCTAGTGTAGGCCAGTGGGCTGCGCCAGTTGATCTCTGAAGCCTGGCATTTATGCCTGTGTATTCCACATATTTTATGAACTCATTTGATGTCAAATACGGGTAGGTTGTGAATTGCTGTTTAAAAGTTCTTGTTCCAGTGGTGGCACAGCTGCTTGCCATGTAGTAGCGTAACGTTTTGCTCCTCTAACAAACTGAAGCCCAGTTCAGATACCCAACAGTTGGTGAGAGAATTGTGGTAGCTATTCTACCAGCAATCCTGAGGACGGTACTGCAGTTCAGAACAAGAAACAAATACAGATGCAATTAATCTCTGCATCGTCGGTCTAAAAAGGAATTTATGGATTATGGAAGTTGGATTTTGGCCAAGACATGTGTTAACAATTTACTTGTCTGTAACTTGGCGGTGTTTTTGTAGTTCCCAAGTAGTCCGAATGCTGTTTAACATCTCGCCTGAGAGACAGCGCTTCCCCTTGCTCGGTGCGTGGTCACACTGAGCTCTGGGCTGCCTTGTGATTCATAGAAAACCATAACCGCTCATTGAATGCCCTGTGTGGCACCTGCAGCCATCTCCAGTCCTTTTTAAGCTTTGTCTTAAGTACTGTCTTCTGCAAAACTCACTTGCAGAATCACAGGATGGTTGAGGTTGGAAGGGACCTCTAGAGATCATCTAGTCCAACCCCCCTGCTCCAGCAGGGACACCTAGAGCACGTGGCACAGGGTGGCATCCAGGCGGGTTTGGAAGATCTCCAGAAAAGGTGACTCCACAACCTCTCTGGGCAACCTGTAGGCTCTTCAGATGTCATTGCACTGCATGGCATGGATAACTCTTTAATTCCATGGCTGCTAATGAACAGTTGGCACGTTCCCATTTTTACGTCTTGACTAAATTCTTAATATTATGGTTCACGAGCAGGGAGCAAATACTCTAGATGTGCTGTGGTGCTTTGAAGAGTATGAATTCTGCTAACAGCTTGCCTCTTTCTGAGCTATTAAGAGTGAAATTTTTTCCTATTGTCATTCTGTGGTCTCTTGCATCCAGCCCTTTTGTGATCTGTTCTTGTACCACATGATGGCGCTGCTAAAATACAGAGGCAGATAGTGGCAGCCCGCAGCACTGCTCTCCCTGGGCGCTGGGAGAACAGGCGCTCTGTGCTAGCTGATGCTTCCATCTTCCCTTGATTTTTGGAAATATGTAGTATAATTGTAAGCTTTTGTTTTGTTTCGTTTTTTCTTCTCAGACCATAGAATCAAGTTGCCTGGGGAATGCAGTGACCTTTTATTGCTAGACTATTGAAAGACATCATCTTTCCCAAGAAGGCATAATTCCATAACAATCATCATGTTTCCTATATATTGCTGTCACAGTTGAAGCCTGTGATTTACATTTGCGTGACACTTACTTGGTATAAATTTTAAATGTAAATGTCCCTAATTTAAGGTTGCTACCTCTAGTCAAGTGAGAGGATTTGAGCACGAGGAAGAGAGTTTCTTAAGCATTAGTACAATCCATGATTCAGAGTAGAGTTACAGATATCTTTGGAAGAAACATGAATGAGTAGATGAACATGCTGTCAAGTCTGAAAAAGTAAACCAGAGCAGTGAGCTTGCGTGTTGCTCTTCACAGCAGCTAGAGCACAGGCACTTGTGCCTAAGTGAGATGCAAAGTTACCACCACCACATAAGTGTAACAGAACCAAACAAGCACACTATCCAGAGTTTTAACTGAGCCTGGGAAGGAAAAATCCCTATCTTGGCTCTGAGACAGCTAAATTCCAACCCAAAATATGGAGGTAAAGCGTTTTTATTATTATTATTATTGGTGTAATACTACTATTATGGAGTTTATATCTTAGAGTTTAGATCTTAGAAGATCTAGAAGACAGTATCTTTGAAAGAGATCATGATTTTTCTGACTGGTTGGCTATTTCAGTTTGCTAAGGCAGTACTTGAAAGCAAAGCTATGAAAATACTCAGCTGTTTTATTTTCATTTTCTGCATTGAAGGCTAATAACACTTTTGTTTCAGATCGTGCAGAGGGCCCAAAAATGGGAGAGGTGCTGTTTTTAAAACACAAGTAACTTCCAACTTAAAAAGGAGTGAGGAAAGCCCTCTTGGTATCACAATCTGAAACAGATGATCAGACACCAGCTATTTCAGGCAGCTAAAAAACTGTAGGCCTGCAGCAAAATTAGGAAATAAACAGAAAAAGGTGCAGCTGAGGAGGGGACAAGCCTGCAACATTTATCTAGTAGTGTCCTTGATTTGTAGATTTCCAGAGAAATAGAGTAGAAAAATTGGGAAGAGTTGTGTGAAGCCATAATAATGCGCCCAGCAAAATCAGAGAAAAATGTGACTTTATCAGAGACCGTTTCAGACTGAAGTAAACACCAGAAAAGAGAGATGATCTGCTCTTCTTGGGTATGAGTGTAGGGATTTAGATGGTTTTCTGGAGATTTCTTATTGTATCAGTGTAATTGATGTGTTGGAGAATGTTCTTCATGATCTGAGCATAGTATTCGCATGTATATAATCCAGTCAAGTGGTGTCACAGAGGATCAAAATATGAATGTTCAAAAATACAAATGTTGTGTCTTTAATCCCTTCTGTTTGATTGTCTCTTCTGCAGTTGATGACAGTGCCATTCTGGATTGCCAATTCAGTGAATTTTATCATACACCTCCACCAGGGTTTGAAAAGATCCTCTTTGAGCAGCAAATCTTCTGAATGGCTTCATACTGAAAACCTGCACCCTGCACTGTTACAAAAGCTTTGTCATCTTAAATAAAGCTTCACGTTACCTTTAGGAAACATACCTGTATTTTTAGTAAGTACTTGTGACGGTTGTGTGCAGAACGGATGCGTAAACTGCAACACCAGATTATTGTGTTGTAAAATGCTAGGTTTCTGACAGTGTTTTGTGGGTGAAAATCAGTTATTCAGGGCAGGCTTTTTGTTTGTTTGTTTGTTTTCTGATTTGTACTTGATGCATAAGGAAACTAAGGGATATAATTGATACCAGTATTAAATTCAGTATTTCGAATCAACTCAAGCTCTGTAAAGTAAATAGTTCTTATGCATATAATACGTATGGAGATTGATATTTCTTATGATTTTTTCCTGATTTTTTCCACACAGAAGTTGTGTACCTTGTTAAAAGGAAGGACTGTGTTTCTAGTCTGTGACCTGGAATTGCAGTGTCCTTGTTGTGCTCAATGACTAGTAATATGATGGCATAACAGGCAGCTATTTTTTTTTTAATTTAAATCCTCTATTCCCTCAACCTTATCACTTGACATATTTCTCCTAAATTTTCGTTTGTTTTGACTGTGACAAATAGCAGGATGCTTTCTAGTAATAATTCAAGTATTACTTTGCTGAATACTAGACGTGCTTTTGAGGACCATCAAGCTGTGTTACTCTGGTAGCAGAATAAGTAGAGATTGCTCAGCTGGGGTACACAGAGAGACAAGTGAAAGGTATGAGATGTTCTGGTGAAGCCTTACATCTGAACTGTAAATCTGATTATTCTTTTGTGGAATATCGTATTTAATTTCTGTATGAATCATTTATAAATGATTAATGGCTAAGACATTGTTCTAAAATGTGATGCCCATAAATATAAATTATTTTCCTCCTGTCATGTATTTAATATTCTTCCTAGAAGAATTTTTATTGTAAAGAAAATCCTCATACTGGCTGTTTGGTTTTGTTTTGGCTGTTCCTGGGTTAATGCATTCACATGAATGAATAACTTTATTTAAATAATTTTTAGAAAATATCTGATCTGAACATAGAGTTTTCAAATATAAACAGCTTGCTCTAAGCCTTTTACCTTACGATTTTCTGCATCTGTTCTAAGAAGAGTGTTGCCATTCTCAGAGGCCCACCTTGTCCTTCTTTTCAGCCTTGCTTCCACACAACAGCATGGAGAGTAAAATTCCAACCCCCAGGAAATGATGCCTTCTTCAGCACTAGGATGTAAAGAGAAGGGAATTGGAGTGCAGTGTTGTAGTCGTCCCATGAGATCTGCTCTCCCTGCTGTGGTCACAGACATCAGCTACAGTATAGGAGACATTCATCCTTGAGCTGATGCCACTGTGCCAGCTGACACCATAATGTTTCTGTAACCAAGTTTGTCAACTCCTTAAACTTTGAGTGGTTATATATTGTTTTTCTTATATCTGAAGAGAGAGGGAAGGCATCCGCCCTATTTCCCTTTGATATTTTTGAACGAGGCCTTCAACAGTTGTTCTTCATGAAACACTACTGAGATGCAAGTGCTTCTTACGGAATTAAAACTTCTTATGCTCCTAGAGAAGGGGAAAGTATTTTAAAAAATTGCTATCTCTTCATCTCACTGCAAACAGCAAACAACTTTTCTCAAAGTTTGGTATGTTTAAGAGTATTTAGCTTGATGTAAACGTGGAAAGAGAATTCAGATTACACTTGAAAATACAGAAAAGGCTGCTCCCATCAAAGGTGAAAGTTTGAAATGGAAAACGTTTTGGTAAATATAAAATACTCAAAACAGCTGTTAAATGGACCAAAAATATGACACGAGCCTGCTTTTACAGCTCAGAAATTTGCTTATTTCTCATTTAAACAGTGTAAGAGTGCATTTGTCATACTGCATAACATAATTATACCTCTTGTTGAAAACCCAACCCTTCTTTTATCATTGGTGACACAGAAAATCTGTATAAAATAATGGAGCTGAATAAATGATCCTTACCTTCTATTTGTGAAAATGGAAAGAGAGCACTTTTTTTAACCTGAAAATAAGTTGTGCGGTGAAGTTTCATAAAAGAAGCAAAGTTAATGCCATTTTACAGGTAAGAGAAGAGGGCTATAGAGATAGAAAATGGATTTGCCTTTTGTGTCTCACAGCATTTGGCAATAAACACCCCAACAGAGTGTGTTCCCAATCCCAGCTTTGCTCGGGGAAATGAGATACCTATTTCTACATATGTCTAGAAATTGCACTAGAAGGTCACTTTAACTTAAAGATTTAGCAGTGTATTTATCCGTAGCAAAGGTGTTTTAATAAGAATGAATCACGCTTCCCAGTGAAAATTATGGAGGTGTTTCCACTAATTGTTTGTACCCAACTGTTTTCTTAATCTTTGAATGTTACGATATGGATATGCATCTCATGAGTGCAAAACACTGTATTTACTAGTACTGTATATTTATGGAGTCCTTTGTGATTATATGATGGCAGCAAGGTAAGAAGTCTGGTTCTGTGCATGCACAAATAAATAGAACTGACAGGACACACAAGGTAGTTTGCACAGAGATAGAAGAGTTGTTATTTTTACAATATTGGAACTCTTTATGGTGCCTTGGCGATGAAGTCGGATAATACTATTACAAGGAGCTTAAAATTCTGATGAGACACTATAAACCTAGGAATAGCTGTCAAGGAGAAGTCCCTGAAAAAATGAGGGGTCAAGAGGGAAGTATCATGTTGTAGTCCATGGATGATGTTGCTGTGGCTTAGATTTGAGAAAGCACTTTGCAAGGAGTAAATAATTTGGTTGATATAATCCTAATTCTATGTTAGGTGCCCACAAAGGAGATTTTAAAGCACAGCTGATGCACTCTTCACCAAAATAATCCTGCAGGTGTACGCAATTTGTTTGGGATGTGTGTTGGGTGTCTCTCTGCACAAGAGCCGTCAGCGATGGCAGTACACGCTATTCAGGTGCAGATGCTCCTGGGAATACAGGCTTGCAGGAGAACTCATGCTATTTTTCCTTTCCGATGGCTTTCTCAGAAAAGAATGCAGTGCATACAGCTGTGCACAAAAAAGAAATGATGTGAACTGGGCCTTGTAACTGATGGGAATTTTTCTGAGTCCACTAGGATTCACAAGGGTCCACAAGAGCAGTGGTGAGACCGAGGCTGCCGTACGTCCTTGTGAATCCAGTAGAAATGAAAGGTCTGAGGTGCAGCTTCCCCAAGACACCTGATGCGGTAAAAGCCTCCCTCCCTTTTGGAAAGGGGTTAACTATTACCTTGCTGAGTTGAGGGGCCTGCGTAAACACGTCCAGAGGTATTTGCAGGAGAGAACAGTTTGAAGACATCAAACTCTCTTCCTTCTCTTGCCTAGTTTCACAGAAAAGCACTTCTGAGCGTGTTGACCTCTTGGGTATGGATCCTGCACAAAGCTCAAGGGCTCAGCGAGGGGCCTCAGAACTAGAGGGGCAGAGCTTTGCTTTTCTCGGCTGCTTCATATAAGCTCCGTGTTGGGGCCATCTCCTGGAAGCAACTGAATCCTGGCTGCTCGAACATGGAATTTTGGCAAGTTGATTATCTGCAGCTCAAATAAGCAGTTGGTAGGACCAGTAGGCCCAATTCCTTCCTAACCTGGCTTGTTCCAGAGCTTTCTTTTTTCCTC